GCCACAGGGGACCCAGTTTCTGCCTGCTTCATGCTTCCCACTGGGTTGAGCCTTTTTTGTGTTGTGTATTATTTGGGGCTCCAGGGCCCCTTGTCTCTGGTCCTGCAGGAGGGTGGATGGAGCAGGCAGAGTAGAGTTTCTCTTGGGGACAATAAAAGTTGTTATTATGTGACCATGGTTCGTGCGTGTAACTGAGGCTACCAGGAGGCCGCCTCTTTCTCCCATCACTGGAGTGACCAGGAAGGTAGTGGCAGGTAGCTCTGATAGAGAACCCCAGTCTTTGGTCCTGGAGGCCTTCAGGTTATTTTCTTTTAACTTATTCTAACCCCTAAAGGCTCCCTCATCCCAGGCTAGGCCCAGGCTCACACTTGCTCTCTCTGTCCCTTTGCCTACTGCTCCCCAGGCAGGCCCTGTTTTATGACCGCTTGGGGTGTGTCTGACCCGTTGGGTTGGCCACTGGGTCCAGGGAGTCTTGGGAGATTCCGTAAACTGCTGGGGCTTCCAGGTGGCAGAGTTACCTGCCTCCTCTGAGTCCTGTTCATCGCATTTTAGGACAGATAGAACGTGGCAGAGTCACTCCCTGCCCCACTTCCTCCTGAAGGTTTGCAGGATGACCTCTGACTCATGCCAACTAAGAGAGGAGACTTGTCCTTGACAGCGACCTACGATTGGCTCAGGGTAGAGCCAGGTGGTGGGGAGGGTGTCCCCTCTGCTGCCTGCAACCCTGGGAACCTGTTGGGCGTGCCTACCTGCTTGGAGAGCCTGCTTTTGCAGTGGTCTCCCTCTTGGTGGTTGCCCCTGCCAGCTAGCTTCGGTAGGTAGCCTCTGCTGAGCAGGGCCCAGTATTTAGGACCCGCCTGAGAGCCTGGGTGGTTGGGGCTGCGGTGGCCCCTGTCTCTGAGGCAGTGCTCATCCTTTGCTGGCCCTGAGGACTGGGCAGAAGGAGCAGGTTGGAGGTGTATTCTTTTGAAATTGGGGGGCTCCTGAAGATGTTAGTGCTAATGGCTAGCTTGTACTCACACCGCTCCTAACCCGGCCAGGCCTGGGCCAGTGGCTGCTTTCTCCAGTGTCCCCTCCCCCTCCCCATGCTTTCATGAGCAGCAAGGTGGTGTCTGACGGGGGGTAAGGGCGGGGGACTATGGGTGAGGCTCTGCGGTTGCTATGCTAAGGCTGAGGGATAGGCACACTTTTCCAGGAAGTGTTCCCTGACTACCTTGCCCTCCCTTGAGCTTGCCCTTCTATGAACTTCTAGAGGCCAGAGTCCAAACAATGTGCCTCTGGGTTCTTCCCTGGCCAGCTTCAGGCAGTCCCTGAACCCCCTTGGTGTCAGGCCCTGGGCCCGGCAGAAGAAAGCTGTACCACACTGCTTTTGGTGTACCCCACCTAGTGGGGGGTGGGGAGGGTGGGAAGATGGTGAAGGGGGTGACAGGTCAGCCCCGACTGGAGGGCCACCCACGGAAACTGGCCCCTAGGTTGTTCTAAGCACTGCTTTCTAGCAGCCTTCTGCTCTTGAGTAGGCCTGTGCCCCCCCTTGTGCCCCACCCCTGGCTGTGGTGGCCCAGTGCACACCAAGTCCTGGGCTGACTGCTTTCCTTACCTATCGTCCACTAGATGGCCAGACCCCACGTCCTAAGCCCCTTCCACAGGGGCAGATTCTAGAGTAAATGGTGACAACCCACTGCTCTCAGGGCCCCAGCCAAGCAATCCAACCTCTGTCGACATTTCTTTTTATGATGTTTATGTTTTCTGAGTCTGGTGCCGTTGTGGCAGGTGGCTCGGAGGCTATTTGGCAAGAGGTGCCAAGGACCTGAGCCAAGGCGTGGCCGTAGTTGGGGGAGTGGAGATGGTAAGGAATTGGTGTGCGGCCAGGATGGGGGAGCAGAGTGGGCCTGAGGGTGACCCTAGGGTGCAGGCTCTGTTCTGTGGGCTCGGAGGCAGGGGCTGTTGCTGGAGGAGTCGACAGGACGGGGCACAGTGTGAGGGGCCCGGGACATGGCTCGTGTGTCCTGCTGGGGAGGCGCCTCCACATGCCCGCACAGGCCCGGCTTGCTTTGCAGTCGGGCCTGCTCAGCCAGTGCTCCTTTCTGAGTTCTGTGGGGACCTGCCCCCTGTCCTGGTTATTGGTGACCCTCAGAGCATGGCCAACCCTTGGCTGTATAGTTGAGGGCTAAAGCTCCTCCTCAGTAAGGGGGCCATGCCTTGCTGGAGAGCAGGGACTGGCCTGGGAGGGACTGCAGGGGGCAGCAAGCCGTTAACTTTTCTCTGAGGGGCCACCACCCCTCCCCAGGCTGGCATCCCGAGTGAGCGCCAGGCTCCCAAACCTAGACCCACCATCCCGCTCTCTCTTGTGAATGTGGCCAGTCTGTGTGCCTCACAGAAGCAGACTCCTACAGCATCTTTGTGTCTGCTTTGAGGTTCTTCCACGTTGTAGCAGGTGTCAGAGTTTCCTTTGCTTTAAAGGCTTTATTTAAGTATAAATAAACTTGGGGCTTGAACTCATGACCCCGAGATCAAGTCACACGTTACTGCAACTGAACCAGGCAGGTACCCCGTTTCTTCCCTTAAGACTACATGGATAGGCCATGTTTTGTTCATCCATTTCCTCCATCAGTGGACACTTGGGTTGCTTCTACCCCTTCTCTCTTAATCCCACTCCAGTCAAGCTTTGGCTTGCACCCCTGCACAGGAACCTCTCTCGTGCGGGTGTCCAGGAGCTCGTTGCCAAGCGCGGCGAGCCTGCTGGGACCTCCCCTCCCTTGACCGTTGACCGTCAGCAGCCCCCGGCGGAGCGCATCACTCCCTCCTGCCTGACCACCCCTCCCCGGGCGTGTGCGTGCGTGTGCGTGGCTCATTCCCGTACCAGGAGGTCACGCTGCACCTGCACTCTTGGGGTGCCTCCCAGACCCCGGGCCGCCCCTCCTCAGTCTCCGCTGCCGGCTCCCTCTCTTCTCTGCCACCTCCGAGGGTCCCAGGGCCGCAGGGCTCGGTGCGTGGGCCGCCGCTCTCGGCCGCCCCTGGTGGGCCGCCCCTGGTGGGCCGCCCCTGATGAGCTCGTGCAGGCTCAGGGCTTTCAGGGCCGTCTTTATGGGCTGAGAACCTCTGAAGTTCTCTCCAGTCCATCCAGACTCTTCCTCGAACTGCAGACTCCTTGTCCACCTGCTGACTAGACATTGCCAGCGAGGTGATGTCTCTGGTATAGCAGGCCCTCAGTCAACGGCCACCATCCCCTCCACACCTTCTCTCCCTCATCTCCCTGGGTGTAGGGCCTGGCAGTGCCACCCTTCCCGGTGCCCAAGTGCTCAGGGTCAGTCTCAGTCTCACGGGGTCTCCCCGGCTCCTCTCTGAACCCCGCATCCCAGCCGTCCACAGCTGGGAGCTGAAGACTGGGCCACTGTGCTGCTAGCACCCTGGTCCCATCGCTGTCCGCGCCCCAGGTCCTGCTGCGGCCTTCTCCCCGGCCGCCCCCGCCTCCTGCTCACCTGCCCCTCACTGCCTGCACCTCGGGAGGTTACCTGTTCGGCGCAGCCTTTGGGCAACCTTCAGGAACCTCAGCACCCATGACTTCCCACCCACCTTCCCTGCTCTCGCGTCCGTCCCCACCCTGCCGTCAGCCTCTCTCCCCAAGTATGTCAGCTCCACGGGGAAGAGGCTTGCTGCCGGCTTCTCGGTACCTGCTCTATTCCCAGGTCCTGGAACAGCGGCGGGCGCAGGGACCCTCAGAACAAATACTTGCCTGAGGCAGCAGCTCGAGGTGGGGACGCCTCCCCACCACCCCTGCAGCCCCGACACCCTCCCTCCCCCGCCACCCCTCCCTTGTGACAAGCAGAGGCAGAGCAGGAGCCAGCTTTGGAAAATGACATGTTTTTATTGCTATGTTTGCAGTGGCTTTTTAGCACAGTAAGAACGTCCCCGCTGGACCCCTGCCCTCACCCAGTCCCACCTCTCCGACCGATGTCGGGGTGGTGTGGGGGAAGCCTTTCTAGGGCCCACTCGGCTGTCTCGGGATCGGACGTGACACACACGTGGGTTAATTAAAGCTGCTACGTGGAAGACTTGAGACGTGGGAAGTGCATCAGCTTTAAGCTCGCAGGTGGGAGCCATGCCCGGGATCCCTCCCCTGGCTGGTGCCCACCTCAGATCCCTGCAGTCGTGCCCAGCCCGGGGCGGGGGGGGGGGGGGGGGGGGAGGGGAGGGGAGGGGAGGGCAGGGTGCGGGTGAGCCTGAGCATGCCGGGTGAGCAGCCCCCCCCCGCCCCGATCGCTAGGGTCACAACGCTGCATCTGCTCACCCCGCCGACTTGTGGGCAGAGGGGGTGGGGGGGTGCTCCTGGAGGCCCCCCCCTCCCCCAGCCGTACACTCTTTCCACCCCAGTCTGGGGCCAGGGACTACACATGCACACCCACACGACAGACTCGCACGCTCAACAGCTTGAAGCTTTTGCCTATGAAAATTAGATCTGTAAGTTCACACTCCTTGGCTAGGGCAGAGGACTAAGGGGGTGCTGAAAGGGACAGGGAGTGGCAGGGAGAGGGGCGTTGGGCTGTTTCCTCTTTAGAAATATACAAGCAGAAATCTCTTTCCTCAAGTTTTTATAAAATGTGCAAAATACAAGCCTCATTTGCCCACAAGCACAGTTTACACCTGGTCTTGGCCTTTGCTGAGAGGTCTAGGCTTCCCCTACACCCTCACGCACACGTGCATTCGTACACAAGCGCACACAATTGATATTGGTGGCAATTGGCGCAGGAACCGGGAGGTCCCGTTGCTGGCTGGCTCTCTAAGCTTCTGGAATAGGGACGGGGAGAGGGGTCTAGCCCCGCTGAAGTAGTCGCCTTGGTTCTGCTGCCCCTCCCTCGCCTTCCTGCTCTCCTCTGCTGCCCGGAGCCCCCAGCTGTCACTGCCGCCTCTAGGGTAGAGGGGCCGCCCGAGGGTGCGGCGGGCAGAGCCCGGAGAGGCAGGCGTGGTGGGGCTGGGGGAGATGCTTCTGCGGCGGGCACCGGGGGGAGGGCGGTCGGCAGGGCCTGGGAAGCAGCGTGTCTACCAGCTTGGTTGGGGGGCGGGGCAGGGGAGGCATCTATTTTTGGTGGGTTGTGATATTTTTGGCGTTTTATTAAAAATGGAAAAAAAAGTTATTTTAGGTAGCACTCGTGGTGCTTCGTCCCCGCCCTCCCCAGGCAGACCCCAAAAGCGTCAGGGAAAGGCAAGCCCCCTGGAGGGGTGGGGGGGCTAGAGCAGGGGCTGCTATGGCTACAAGAGGGTGAGCTGGTGATGGGAGCCAGGGTGCCTGTCACATGACGCTCTCTACCACCACCACCTTGCTGCTCTCGGACACTGGGGTCAGGGTGGTCAGGCCCCTGACGTCGGAGTCCTGAGCTCTATACTCCAAGTGGTGGAGGCCCCACACAGGCTGCGTCAGGTGCTGCCAGCGCTGCAGGAGAGAGGGGGGACACGTTGAGTCTCCGGGCCATGGCGGGGGTGGGGTGGGGTGGGGGGGCGCGCACATGCTTGCCCTCGGCCTCTCTGCACTTGCCACCGCCTGCCACCGGCTGGGGACCAGGGCCCCTCCTCCCGTGGGTACTGACCACACCCCACTCTCTGTACCAGGGAAACGGGTGAGAGAGGCTAGGGACAGACCTCTCCTCCCCCTCCTCCCCCCTCCTCCCCCCGCCCAGTGACCTCAGGCCCCGGGGGGGCCAGCGTTCCTTCCGTCCACCCCCGCCCCCCTGAGCCGGCCCCCGGAGACTCCTAGCACAGTGGTTACGTCCTAGTGGGCGGCAGAACGGGCACTCTGGAGGTAATGCCTTGAGCCGGTGCAAGGGAGGGACTCGAACAGGGGAGAGGCGGTAGGGCAGACTGACCTCAGCCATGGTCCCCTTGGCCCTGAGGAGGCAGCCCAGGAGGTGGAGGGGCACGCACAGCATGGAGGAGAGAGCGAAGCCCCAGCCCATGGCCTCGCCCCACCATGGATACACGTAGGTGTTGTTGTAGACCAGCGGCTTGTAATACACCACGTTGAAGATGAAGATGCCCTATGGGGGAGAAGCCCTGCTCTCAGCCGGGGGCAGGCCCTCGGCGTCCCTCCCCCTGCTCAGCCTCCCCTGGCCCTTACCATGCAGACCAGTGGGGTGAAGAAGGACCAGCACCATTTCATCCAGGGGCAAGGTCGGTACCCGATCATGCAGGCAACGTCGTCCATGAACCGGTCAGCTCCTGAGGCGGGTGGGGCAGGAGGGCTGGAGCTAG